CCGATAATTCACGAAGGTTCGAGAGAAGGAGTGGCGTGATACTAGTCACGTGACCTCGCTGACGCAACAATATATATTATACCTTTAAGTTTGAATTTTCATGTGTATTATGATTTATACATTTGTTTTTATACTTATCATTTTTATAGAGTTTTGGACTTTATGATATTTTTATAAAGAAATTATATTTTGTACTTTTTAATTTAATTTGTTTGTGTTTATATTATTTTTAGTATAGAATATTGTGTGATATTTCTTATTTATTTGTCCACCAGTGGGTCAGTGGTAAATATACAGACTTACAATGCTAAAATCAGGGATTTGATTCCCACAGTGGATACAGCACTTAGCCCAATGTGACTTTGCTTTAAAATAAATAGAATTATGTACTTATTTGATTAACAGTAAAGGACGTTTTTTATACACATGTATATATCATTTCATGTATTTTAATTTGTGATTTTTTCAGTATCTATCTGTACATCTTTCAAAAGACTTTGTGAATGTGTGTGCATTTTATAACGTTTTTTGTAGTTTTTGTATTTAATAATGTGATTAATATAATTTATGAAGGGTTTATTCCTTTTGACATATTGTTGTTGGTTTTTAAATGGTTCACTTTATTTTGTGTTTAATGTCAAAGGATCTTATATTTTTGACACTGGTTTGTTTTATTTTGTGTTTTTGGTTTTAGTGTAAAGAGTTGTTTTATGTAGTTTTTATTTCTTAACAACCTTAAAGGGTTTATATTATGTCATATTGATGTCTAAATGGTGCATTTTACTTAGTATTTTCTATGTTACATTGAGGGGTATTTATTTATTTTTTGTTGTAGTTTTTCTTTTGATATTGCAAGTTCGTTTTTTTTATTGTGTGTGTGCGTGTGTGTGTGTGTGTGTGTGGGGGGTAATGTTATGTTTCCTGTTTCACTTTTGACTGATGTTGTGTAAGTGCACTGCAGTTGTGAGAGTAAGTTTCACCAATTTATTGACCAATGAATGAGATATTTAATTTGGTTTTAAAGTTTTTAAGTTAGTGATATCATGAAAGCAAAGTAGATAGAAAAGGATGGGGTAGCAGGTATACTATTTGTTTCATATCGTTTATTCAATACAAAATTTTTCAATATTTCCTTACCTATTGTGTGTTCAAGTCTACAAGTTTTACAACAATGTAAACCATCTTTAAGATACTGGTAGGGTTGGTGTTCAAGTATACAAGTTTGACAACAGTGTAAACCATCTTTAAGATACTGGTAGGGTTGGTGTTCAAGTCTACAAGTTTGACAACAGTGTAAACCCGTCTTTAAGATACTGGTAGGTTAGTATTCAAGACTACAAGTCTGACAACAATGGAAACGATCTTTAAGATATTGGTAGGGTTGGTGTTCAAGCCTACATGTTTGACAACAGTGTAAACCATCTGTAAGATACTGGTAGGATTGGTGTTCGAGCCTACAAGTTTGTCAACAGTGTAAACCATCGTTCAGATGCTGTTAGGGTTGGTGTTCAAGTCTACATTCGACTCTAAAATATAATTTTATTTACATTCATGAGATTTTTATCATGCTAGAATCGTGATCATTTTGAGCAACACTAGTGATTCGATCCATTGGACTATGAAACTGATTATATGTAAGCCATAAAAAAAATTAATTTGTGAATAAATAGTGAGGTATCTGTGAATTTACAAATCTTGCTACATAAGAATTGGGTGTCGGTTAATCCTAGATAATGAATTATATCTTAGCTGTAGTAGGCCTGGTAGAAGTGAAGTTTCAGATATCTGTTTTATTGGAATGAGAAACCTAGTGCAAGTATTCACGTGTTGCTCGTAGCACCACAAGTCACTTACGGTGACTCATAAGTACATGAGCACCTACAAATCATTTTTATAAAGTGTGATTAACCCTACATAGAAGTGTTGCTATACATATGTCTTAATGGGCTATAAATGAAGAGAATACTTACTTTAGTATGACTCTATTTGTAACCGTCAGGATTCTCAAGTGGTAACGTATTTGCACGTGGTAATGGATAACATTCAAATGTATCAACCAGCATAATCACATCTTCTTATACACATTTATTTATGAGTTATAAGTAAAGAAAATACTTACTTTAGTATGGCTATACTCGTAACCATCAGGATTCGCACATGGCATTATGTACCATTCAAATGTATCAACCAGCATAATCACGTCTTCTTATACACATTTATTTATGAGTTATAAGTAAAGAAAATACTTACTTTAGTATGGCTATACTCGTAACCATCAGGATTCGCACATGGCATTATGTACCATTCAAATGTATCAACCAGCATAATCACGTCTTCTTATACACATTTATTTATGAGTTATAAGTAAAGAAAATACTTACTTTAGTATGGCTATACTCGTAACCATCAGGATTCGCACATGGTATTATGTACCATTCAAATGTATCAACCAGCATAATCACGTCTTCTTATACACATTTATTTATGAGTTATAAGTAAAGAAAATACT